CAGCTGGTTTCCTTATCTTTACCATGACTGTTTCAATCATCTGTTCTCCTCAGACCTCCAACATGCCCTTTTTCTTTCTACAGAAAACTTTTCCTATTACTTTCCAGTGAAAATCGGAGTATTCGATGCAACCCTTAGTTGCCCACTATCTTTTCTATATTTTTTTCCTTCTTAATGTTAAAATAGAGGTAGTCTTGCTTTCTATCTAAGGCTCTCTCCCTTTCTCTGCAGTACCTTATGCTGTTGATGATTTCCTTTTTTTTTTTTTTTTTTGTATATTTAACTTTGCTTTACACTTGATTCTTCTCGTCAGTATTTAAACACGCTTAATTCCTACTATTAAAAAAATAAAAACAATAAGCATTCATGGGTACCAGATTACTGACCTTTCTGTTCTCTTTCCTATCCAAATGCTAGAAATTGTTGTTTCCATTTCTCACCTTTGACTCACCTGTTCAGTTTATTCATTCCACTGTAATAGTATTTGCTTATTGATACCAACGACCTCTCTGTTAGTAAATTAAGTGGATATTTTTAGACTTACTCTTATTTGATCTCTCACTTAGTGTGCTAGGGCTTCCATAAAATACCACAGACTGGGTGGCTTAAACAACAGAAATTAATTTTCTCACAATGTGGAGGCTGGACGTCAAAGATCAAGGTGTTGGCAAGTTTGGTTTCTTCTGAGGCCTCTCCCCTTGGCTTGCAGAGAGTGCCTTCTTGCTGTGTCCTCACTTGGTTTTTCCTCTGTATGCATGCGTTTCTGGTGTGTCCAGATTGGATTAGGGCCTGGAGGATGAATTTACTCACCTCTCTAAAGGCGCTATATCCAAATACAGTCGTGTTCTGAGGTACTGGGGATTAGGGCTTCAACATGTGAATTTCAGGAGAGACAGTCTGGCACATAATCTCCTAGCAGGTTTAAGCAGTTTTGAAAAACTATCCTTGGCTGGACACATTGGCTCACACCTGTAATCCCAACACTTTGGGAGGCCGAGGCGGGTGGGTCAGCTGAGGTCAGGAGTTTGAGACCAGCCTGGCCAACATGGTGAAACGCTGTCTCTGCTAAAACAACAAAAATTAGCCAGGTTTGGTGGCACATGCCTGTAATTGCAGCTACCTGGGAGGCTGAGGCATGAGAATCGCTTGAACTCGGGAGGCAGAGGTTACAGTGAGCCAAGATCGTGACACTGCACTCCAGCCCGGGCAACAAAGTGAGAATCTGTCCCTGGGAAAAAAAAAACAAAAAAACAAAAAAAACACTATACTTAAACTTTTGATTTTCATTTTGCCTCTCTGATCTATTGCTCTTCAGTCTTTTTTTTTTTTTTACAGGCTTCTCTTCTGCTTGGTCATTAAAAGTCGAAATTTCTTGAGTCTTGGTCCTTTGGTATTTTCTGTTTTCTCTTCCTTCTGTTATTTCTCCCCAGGCAGTCTTACCACTTTGATTTCCACTTATGAAGGAACTGCATACCTGTTGTTCCAGCACTTATTTGCCTAAGTTTCAGACCTATTTGATAATGCCATTTAGCTTATCCCGGAGGTACCTTAAAGAAACGAGTTCAAATCTAAACTCATAATAATCCGCATCCATGTGATTTGACCCTAATCTGCCTCCTTAGCCTTAACTATTCTTTGTTACTCTTTGCCATAGCTACCCTATAGCAAAGCATGGCCTCTTGGTCCAGGCGTAATATACCTTTTCCTCCAGAATCTTTGCTTTTGTTTCCTATGTTAATATGGTTCTCATTTTTCATTTATAACATTACCCAGTTTTCAACACATAAAAAGATACAAACATTAGTCATTAGGGAAATGCAAACTTAAACCATAAAATAATCACTAAAACCATCTAGAAGGGGTAAAATTAAAAAGACTGTCAACGACAAGTATTCTGGGAAGCCATCCAGAGCACTCATAAATTTCTGGTGTGAGTATAAAATGGGAGAGCCACTTTGGAATACCGTTGGCAATTTCTTATAAATTTAAGCATATACCTTTGGATCCAGCAATTCTACTTCTAGGTGTTTTCAGAAAAGAAATGAAAATATGTCCACAAAAAAGTTTTAAAAATTATATTTATAGTCTGTTTATTCGTTATATCTAACAACTAGAAGCAGCCCAAATATCAATAGGATTAATGACTAAACGTTTTTTGGTATATTTGTACAATGTAATGCCACTCAGTAATAAAAGAACTACAAAATGGCAAATGTACACAGTGTGGCATGGATGAATTTCACATACTTAGCAAAGGAAGCTGGACATGATACTATATTATTCCATTTATATTAAGTTCTAGAAGAGGCAAAGCTAATCTGTAGTGAAAAAATAAAAACAGAACAAAGGTTGCCTTTTGCTTGTGGAAAATGCTGATACTCAACTGGGAAGGTGCATAAGGGGCCTTCCTGAAGTGATGAAAATGTTCCATATCTCATAGAGGTATGTGTTACATGGGCTTATCTATTAAAGTTGTACAGGTAAGAAGTATGTATTTCAATGGCATACTTGTGTCTTAGATAAAATATACAAGTTTTATCTAAAAATTATAGAAATAATTGAGTTGGGTGATAGGGAGTGGGAGGTGTAGATGAAAGAAGAATTGCAGAACGTTGGTGGTTGCTGAAGTTAAGTAACGGAAGTGGGGAAGTTTAGTATACTATTTTGTTTTTTGTGTGTTCAAAATTTTCCACATAAAGAGATATTTTTAAATTAAAGTGATGAAGACACTTAAACAGCACCTGTGGTCTCACTACCAGCTTAATAAAGAATGCTTACTAATGGTAATTTTCCTCTCTTGTGAATCGTACCCTGATTCTGTACTCCTTTCTCCCCACCAGCCACTATCCTAAATTCCTCTTGACTTCTTAAGACATCTTCCAAATATCATTCTAAACATCACTTCCTTGGAGGAAAGCCTTTTCTGATTCAGAACACTCACTAGTTTTAAGTGCCCCTGTTAAGTCCTTTCATAGCTTTTATCATAATTATGATATATTTGTTTAACTATTATCAACCTCTACACTAGACTAAGCCTAAGTTTTTGGAGGGCAAGATATATCTATTCTTGCTGTTTTAGTGTCTAGAATAGTAATACATTTATTGAATGATTATGTTGGTGTAGTTTTTAAAAAAAATTAAAAGATACCCAAATTGAAGAACTATTCTATCACTGCTTACATTGTAAGTTCAATGTGTTACAAAATTTGTGAATGTGAGAGAATGACTGAGAAATGATAATGGTTTCTTTCTGATTTTATTGGCATCTGATAAAAACAAGGGGCAGTAATACTGTATTGTTAGATCTGGAACTATGTCCAGAAAGTCCTGTCAGTTGGTTCTCAAATGCCCTTGAGCTTTATTATGCTTCTTACTTATTATGTAAGTATTAAGTCATGTGAGTGAAAGACCCCTTTCCTCTTTGCAAAGAATATTCAAAATCACCTCTTTTTTCTCTTTTCTCTAATGTGCTTCTTCCTTTGACTATTAGTTTTGGTATTTATCAGGGACAGTGATCTTTAAGAGCTTGTTGTTTTGTTATTTTTTGTACTGCTTGCTGTATGTTTTAAATTTTGATGTATCTTGCTGCCAAATGAAGGTGTGAGCTCATAAGTAATAAAGATAGAAAAAATATGCTTTGCTTATAATTGTACCATTAAACATGTCCTTAATATAGATACACATTATTGGTATTGTAGGTGCAGGATTATGTTTTGATTTTTGCCAGTTCATATTTCCATGGAGTATTTAGACAACTTTAACAATATAGATTTCTGTAATGAATGTTTTTGTAACTTATGCTGCTGCTTGAGAAACAAAGTCAGACTGCCAGGGTTTGAGTCCTGTGCCCAGTATTTCCTAGCTCTGTGACATTGAGTTATCTGCTTTTTGCCTGTTTCTTCCTCATTAAAACAGAGATACGAAGTGTACCTTATGGTGTTGTTGGGAGGACTATATGAGGTAGTATATGTAATGCCTGGTACTTATTAAATGTTAGCTCTTTTTTACTTTTTTGGGTTCTAGGGAGTCCAATAAGTAACAAATTTTTCCTCTAAGGTTTTTTTTTCCTTTATTGGTGGCAAAATATACATAGTATAAAATGTACATTTCAACCATTTTAAAATATACAATTCAGTGACATCAAGTACATTCACAATATTTTGCAACAATCCATCTCTGTCCATTTCTAGAAGTTTTTCATCATCTCAAATAAAAACTTGATACCCATTAAACAATAACTCCCATCTTTCCTCCCTTAATTCCCTGGTAACGTCTGTTACACTCTCTGTCTTTATGACTATCACTATTCTAGGTACCTCATAAATAGAATCATACAATATTTGTCTTATTGTCACTCTCTTATTTCATTTGGCATAATATTTTCAAAGTTAATTCATGTTGTAGCTATTGGCTTCTAGTTCTGTTTCTTGTGGTTGAAGAAAGTACTTCCCTAATAGAAATGAAAATATGTTTGCAAAGCTTTTTAAAAGAATGCTTATGGATTTAGTCATAATAGGTAACAACTGAAAACACTGGTATGACTGGGTCAAGTTGGACTAACTCAGTGTAGCCCAGGGTCGTATAAGAACATGGAGTTTTCAAGGTAGGCATCGGGGGTGGTGTTGAGGGGAGGGTAGTAAGCATAAAATATGGTACTCAGAAGAAGATAAGGGTGCCAGGTTTCAGTTCCAGGGCTGTTTACAGTAAGGATTACAGTGGGCTAAAGTTTAAGATTAATTTTATAAATTCTAAACACATCCTGTTGACTTCAACTGCAACTCTTAAAATTTATCAATAACATGACTTTATTATTCCTGGAAACTGGTATTTTTCCCAATACTTTGAAGAGGTTTAAAATAGTTGACTAATATTAGAAGCAATATTTCATGTATTGATTTTTCTCTTTAAGTGGCAATTAGTTTAGAAAATGCTAAACTTAAGTTACCAGTATAGAGTTGGTACATAGTTATACTGAGTATGAATGTCTTCGTAGGCTTGGAAGCCTACCATTTGTGTCCTCTTGAGGTACCTGAATTACCAAAAGCTATGTATTCTGAAGTTATTGAAAATAAGAGCTTTTGGGAATTCAGGTAGTTCAGGAGTGACTTTTCTAAAAAACAGACCTGAGCACCATATACTACTACTTATAGCCTTTTATTTACTGCCAATTGCCTGGAATAAAGTTCAAATTCCAGATCAACACAAACATGGCCGTTCATGAACTGAGAGACATTTCCTAATAATTCCTTACATACATGATACCCTTGAGCCTTACAAAATTAAGAATTTCTGAATTCACCTTGGTGTTTGATTCATCTGTGTTTCTATACGTGCTATTTACTAACCTAAAATAGACTACTCTCTATTTAGCCTCAAAAGTCTCATGGAAGGTTTTAAAAAAATCCTGTCTAAGCTCAGTTAATTATATTCTTTTTACTGTTCTATTTAGTAGTTAATATTATAAACTACCTTATAGTAATTTGTACAGATACCTGGCTTACTCCCTAAATTGAGTTGCGTAAAGGCAGGAATTGAGTATTAATCTTTGCCGTATTTTCTTTGCCTTGCTTACTGTAGTTGGTTGATTAGTGCTAATTGAATAAATGAACATTTATGCTTTTCTTTTTGAGAATATTATATGGGTGCTTTCTTTAGTTGTTTAATGGAAGATAGCACAGACTTCTATACAATTGGTTTTTATGGGAAGGCACAAGAGAATAATTAAAATATAATTTCATCTAGAAATAATTTTCTGCAGTTGGAGCGAATATTTTTTAAGTTATTAACTTACCTAGAGTGGAAGGTTGAATTTTTGAATGATAGTGTTTTAGTTATTAAAGTGGCCTGTAAGAGAACTTTTAAGTTCATGTGGCAAAACAGGGAAAAATTGCAAAGTTAAGAGTCTGATGTTTCATAGACTAACAAAAGGTTGCTTTATTAGCAGCATTAATGAACGAATCGCTTTATTGGCCTAGGCATACTGGTAGCATTGTTGTTCCAAAGAGCTGAGAGTTCTTATTTCAATTCATGATTATGTTAGACAAGTGAAGTGAAAGCCGTTGACCTTCTCTTAAGGAGAAAATAGAAAGTTTTTACAAATAGATTATAGATTAAAGCCTTTTAAGGAACATGGTGAAGAACTAAATTACTGCTAAATCACTTGAAAAATTTACATTTTTTTTTTGTGCACCAGTCTTATAACAGGAGATTTTTTATAGACCTGTTAATTGATATTTAAAATAATAACTTTAATAGGATGATTTTGTAGAGTTAGGTCAAAGTGATTGACAAAAAGCAAATTATTAAAATAGGCAAACTTTCAATTCTCCAAAGGATGTTCAATTTTAAAAGCAATATGAGATACAGGAAATATTAAACTGGAGAAGATGTAATGCCACTTGGATGGCATACTTTTCAAATTATTTTTTATTTATTTACATGAAATGCATTTTGCTTGTTAGAATCATTTTGGAAGTGCCAATTTGCTTCTGTTGATTTACATCAAAGATTAAAATAGGAGTCACTGGTGACTTTCTAAATCAAAGTTCTTCAAAATGGTTGTTTTAAATAGCAAGAATTACAGAACTAAATGTTGTATAGCTAGCTGTTAAAACTAAAAATTATGTAACAGCAGTCTATTTTAAATTTAACAATTTTAAATGATACTTAAAAATATAAAAAAATACAAGGAAGAATATAAGATGCTTATGTATCTGTACTGCCAAAATTTGCTATCATTGTTTCAGAACTTTTAAAAATAAATTAAAAATATAATTGGAGATTACTAATCTCATTCTTTTTTCTCTCTTGTTAGAGGTAATTACTTTTCTAAAGGTATCCTGTAAGTTTTCAATACTTTTTAACACCTATTTGTGTAAAAAGATAAACAGTACTGATTTAGTTTTAAAATGTAAAAAATAATATATTGTTGGCATAACTTTTTAACTTGCTTTTTTCACTCAGTGTTTATTTATATCAAGATTTATTCATGTTGATATTTGTATGTACTTAAAGTTTGTTTATTTTTTCCTCTGTGTTATTAGTTTGTTCCATTATTTATGATGTTGAGTTTCATTACTTGGTTAAGGTGGTGTGACCTGATTTCTCTATTGTAAAAGTATCCTTTTCCCATTGATAATTAATCATTAATCTGTGGGGTAATGCCTTGAGACTGAGTAAACATTGTTTCTCAACAGCCTTTCTCCCAGTGTTTTTAATATCCATTATTGATTTATACCTGAATTGTTGGTTACATTGATGCTTGCAAAATGATTTTCTACACCTATTATTCTTTCCACATTTATTAGCTGGCATTCCTCTTTCTGTAAGGGAGTTTCTGTCCTTTCACTGTGGGCTCATGGTTTCTTCATTAATTCAGTGAACTAAAAATCCATTATTGTTATGTAGTCATGCACTGCATATACGACATTGATCCCATGAGATTATAATGGAGCTGAAAAATTTCTGTCGCATAGTGACGTTGTAGCTGTCATAACATCCTAGGACCAACGTCACAACCAACACATTACATGTTTGTAGTGGTGTTAGTGTAAGTCAAATCTGTGCTGCCAGTTGGATAAAAGTATAGCAGATATAATTACGTACAGTACATACTTGATAGTAATAATAAACAGCTATGTTACCGGTTTATGTATTTACTATGCTATACTTTTTGTTGTTATTTTGAATGTACTTCTTTGTTGTTATTTTGAATGTATTAAAAAAAAAGTTAACTGCAAAACAGCCTCAGGCAGTTCCTTCAGGAGGTACTCCAGAGACATCGTTATTTTAGGAGATGACAGCTCCGTGCATGTTACTGTCCCTGAAGACCTTCCAGTGAGACAGTATGTGGAGGTGGAAGACAGTGATACTGATGATCCTGACCCTGTGTAGGGCTAGTCTAATGTGTGTGTTTGTGTCTTAGGTTTTAGCAAAACAGTTTTAACAGTAAAACAGGAATTTTTTTAAAATAGAAAAGACTTGTAAAATAAAGATAAAAGGAAAGAAAATATTTTTGTGCAGCTGTACAATGTGTTAGTTTTATGCTAAATGTTATTACAAAAGTCAGAAAAGTTTAAAAACCAAAAAGTTTATGTAAGCTAAGGTTTATTATTGAAGAAAGAAAACATTTAAAAATAGATGTAGTGTGTCTCGAGTGTATATTTACAAAGCCTACAGCCGTGTACAGTAACACCCTAGGCCTTCACATTCACTCATTACTCAATCATTAACTCACCCAGAGCAGCTTCCAGTCCTGTAAGCTCCATTCATAGTAAGTGCCCTATATAGGCATATGATTTTAAAAAATCTTTTATACTGTATTTTTACTGTACCCTTTCTGTGTCTAGATATTTTCAGACACACCATGTTATAGTTACCTGGCAGTACTCAGTACAGTAACATGATGTACAGGTTTGTAGCCTAGGAGCAATGGGCTATACCATGTAGGCTTGTGTAAATACACTCTGTGATGTTACCACAGTGAGGGAATAGCCTAACGAACACATTTCTCAGAAGATATCTCTGTGGTTACGTGACGCATAACTGTGTATCCTTCGGTGACTCAAACTGTTACAATTTAGCCAGCAAGAACTCAGTCTGGTTTGTATGTTTCTTTGACATGCCCCCTCATTTTTACAGCACCAATTTGCTTTGTGGCACAACAAAACATTCTCTCCTTACCTTATGGTATTCTTACCCCAGACCTGGACTTGGCTGTTTTACCAAAAGTTCTTGTTTCTCTTAGTGGGGAATGGTATTTGGAAGCCAACATCATTGATGCGTTACTGGGTGTCATTGCTTCTATTGGTTCTTTTCATTAGACAGAGCAAGAAAATATACTTTTAAAAACTAGTGATATTTGAGTTCCTAGTGAGACTAAGGTTCTTTCCTTTCCTTGTTTCATATTCCTCTTCTTCCATAATGAAGATCCAGTTTACCAATAACATCAATATATGTTTATTCATTTGTTCTGTCTTAAAATATACATAACATTGGAATTACTATAGCAATACCACTCCTAATAATAATCTCAATAACGTTTAAGATTTCTATGCAGTTTTTTATTTATAGCAGATAGCCCAGTGAAGGTTTATAGAGTGCTATGCTTATAGTTATTTTAATTATATTTTTCACATAGGCAATTTGAAACTTTTTCTAATAGGAAGGTTAAGCCTATTTACTTATCTTGGTGTAACTGGTATGTTTTATCTAATTGATATGTTGTATTTGCTGTTGTTTTACATTATATATGTTTTTGTTTTACTCTTTAAAAAGTATTTTTACTAGTACAAAAATCTTCCTTTCTCTAGATCTTTAGAATGTTGGTCTTAGCTCTTACAGTTTCCCAGTCTTTTTGGTATTTTTGTTGTCATTACTATGTTTAATTTTGTTAGCTAGAATTCATGTTTTCTTTTCTTCATCCATTTAGTTGGGCTGTATACTCTCCTTTTTTTGGAGACGGAGTCTCTCTCTGTCATCCATGCTGGAGTGCAGTGGTGCAATCTCAGCTCAAAGAGAAAAAGCTTCTCTTTTTCCCCTCAAGTAGATACTGTGCATTTGAACTGCAAAAAGGGTCATATTCTTGCTTTATCTCTCTTTTAAAGGCAAAGACTGATGGTTACTTTTTCTTTAATAAGAATCTTGATTTTTTCATTTTGTGTATTTGATATTTATCATTTTAAGAAAAAAAATCCTCTATACATAGTTAAAAATTTATGTAGAATGGATGTTGGAACCCAATCATAAAGCTATAAAACCATAAAATAAGTAGGAATAAATTTTAAAAAATGAATAGGATTTGTATGAAGAAAATAACAACAGTTCATTCTAGGATCAAATAAATGAAGAGAGAACTATTTTTCAGAATGAAAAACCAAATAGTGTCCAATGTAGACTATTCAAAGTTCTAACCCATAAAATTAATAGCAATTCTAGTCAAAATAGCTGCTTTTTCTTTTGAGGAGTTCGAGAAGTTTGACAACCCGATTTTCAAATATATGTAGTATAGTATGTGAATGAGAATTATCCAGTGTAAAATTTAAAAATAAAAATAAGACCGGTATTGTTATACTATACCGTATTGCTTGCTATACTGTAGTGCTGTAGTAATTA